CCCCAAAACCCCAAAACCCCAAAACCCCAAAACCCCAAAACCCCGGATGAGCAAATAAGAATTGAGTTTAAATTTAGCATTATTATCCCAATCCCTCATAGTTAGCTTATTATTTATGCGGGTCATGGAGATCCGCGCTTATTATTTTAATCCGAGATTGGGTCAAAAGTCTTCATAAAATTCTGATCATCGTCTGCAAATTTCTTGAATGTGATTTCCTTGTTTTGTATCATGTCGTTAAGGATGTCATTACCCTCCTTGATATTACCCATGTCTATTTGGTACTTTGCTTGAGAGAATTTTTCATTGATTTCTTGCTTCTCAGAAGTGAGCTCGAGCTCATCAACTCTTTCAAAGAGGTCATCAGGAGTGACCTTGAGACCCATCATTTTGTCAACAAGGGTATTCTCTTCAGTGGGGTGATCACCAGCAGTCTCATTACAGAAGCCAAATTTAGAGACTTGTCTTGAGCCAGATGGCTGAGAGAAGAAATTTCCAGAAGAATCAGTTGTTGCTGCTCCATTGAAGCCGTTGGAAGTGAAGTCTCTATTGGCATAACTGAAAGAATTGAAGAAATTATCGCTTTCTTCATCCTGAAATGTGTTCCCATCATAGTAAGGAAGCTGAAGGTCACTGCCGAAATCACCATTGTCTTGAGGTCTCGTATCTATAACCGCCTCAGTTGCTACCTTAGAAGGCATCTGAACTGGAATTTGGGAAGATTCAAATGATGGGGGCTGTGAAAAGGCAGTGTAATCAACTGTTCCATACTGTGAGGCTAAAGGCATTGTCTGAATCTGAGATGGATCCGCTGATTGTGCCTGAGCTTCTGAAGAGTAGAGAAGCTCTGCCTTTACAAATTTGGCTCTCATGTCATGGTCTCCGTGAGCGAATGTGCATCTATCACCGTATTTGCAATGAGCTCCTAAAGAAATAATTCAAAAAAATACCTTCTAGCCAATTCTTGCAAGGAATTGTTTTGTATTTGTTATGAACATAGCCTGGTGGAGCAACTGTATTTATCGGTGTCTGATACAATCTGAAAACATTTGAAGGAAGAGCCTACACACAAGTTAGCAAAATCACCTTTCAAGCAGAAGAAGGATAAGATACTTACGTCTGTCTGCTTTCTGAGCTCGTGTTTCCCATGGGCAAAATGGCATCTACTATCCATCTGACAAGTCCCTGTCTGTTCATAGTGCTTGCATAAGGAGGTCTTGTACTTTGCCATTTTGCTACCTGGTTGAGGTACAATCATTTCAATAGTAGGTTGTACCATATAATTATATTGATGCATCTATTTAATTTTACACTGAGTTTGATATTTAGCTTACCATCTTGGAATAAGATTAATTATTATATTAAAGTTCTCAATACAGGATCTTATTCAGGGGTTTTGGGGTTTTGGGGTTTTGGGGTTTTGGGGTTTTGGGG